AATAGATGGAATACATAAAAAAAATGAAGGATTGACAAAAGTTTTCTTTAAAAATTCTGCAATACCAAGTTTCATTTCTTGTTAGGGAGTTCTCAAATGAAGAAAATAGTAAAATTATGTATATCCAAAAAAATTGACGATCCAAGGCTCGAATTCAGCTATCTTCCTCGGTTAACAGATTAAACCAATCTCTGTAAGAGTTCTCCTTTTTTATTTACGTTTATTAAAAAAGAAAAAGATGCATTTCTATAAACGTCTTACGAACTGCAAAATACTCAAAGATATTCAAAATATGAGAAAGGCCAGATTTGTCGTTTCTTCCGCGACACGATCGCCAAAGAAAAAGCAGACGATTGGAACAGAAGAGGACATCTCTCGTCTACACGAGGACGAGCAGAACGTACGAGGAATTTGTACGCGTCGCTGTCTGGACATGGCCAAACTAGGCTGAAGTTCGCGGTGTCCTGCATCTCCTCGATGGAATCGCAAAAACCGCGTGCCACTCGCGAGTGAGACGATTCCGCAGGATGGACATCCGACGAAAATCGTCGTTGTTAACTATTTTCAGCACGAAATACAACTTTGAAAAAATATGGAATTTTATCCTGGAAGATTCTACAGTGGTAGTACGAGACATCATCGAAGAGAAATTCGCTGTTGGTTGCAACGTAACGAGAATTCCGTGAGTCCGTGCCACAAATGATTCACTGGCATTACGTATGCAACTTTAATACCGTTTCGCATTCAAAGCATCCCTGAACGGCACCCTACCAAGATACATTCCACCGCTGTGCTCACCTGCGCTTATTCGTCTGCGCCTTATGCGCGTGTAACTGTACTTAAGTACGAATGCTGGTTTATTTTGTAGAAATGGTATCGAACTACCTACCAATATCCACGATATACACTAAAGATCCGCAAACCATTCAAACCTGGAATTCTCGCTAACAAGATATTCGTCACGGTATACATTAAAAATCTACAAAATGTTCGAATCTGTAATCCTCGCCATATATTCTAGGAAATATCCAGATTTTTAGCTCGTTATATGAACAACATAAAACTTCACTCTTCAAGGTTTTAAGCACCAATATTCACAAATTATTCAACTTGAGAACTTTCTCCAGATTCCTCTGTAGTTTTTTTAAACATTCCAGGAAATATCCATTACATCGACTGATCATAAAAACGACAGAAAGCGCCGTTTTTGGACGTAATGGTCAACATTCGGAAATTATATGTAAGTCTGAAATTCTCCGTAAATTTCTCCTTAAAATTCCTCTTGAAACATTGCAGAAGGTATGCTCTGATTTATCCATCGTAAGACGTTCATCATGTTCCTGTTCGGTAACAAAGACTTGTTATAAAACAGCCGCGTCACACAAATCATCATTTCTCCCCATTAAGAATCCAAAAGGCACAATTACCCCTAAAGTACATCCATGTTCACGATGAAGCAAAACGAGCAAAAGGAGGTTTAAAAAAATGGATCGTGTATCCATTTCCGCCGCGAGGATCGCGACGTGCCGCGGTATCTTGGCTGCGAAGAAGGTGCAGCAAAAAGGGGGTTGCGAAAAAAGGAGAATCGAAGGAAGGGAGAAGGACGATGGAAAGGACCGGCGCGACGTCCATGCCGAAGAAGATGGATAAGGTTCGGAAGCAATGACATTCGTTTCGCGGGCTGACGCCCCAACTATACCTTAGATGGTAGCGCGGTCGGTGTGTCCAATGTCCGAAAATGGCCGGTGATTTCTTCACCGTGGCTACCGTGGATTTAATACTCGCGGTCGGTCGCGGCGATGGAACGCTCGCTATGGCGAGATCCCGGCCTGATTTATGTGCTCGTGCGCGCGATCCGAAGGCCAAGGTCCTCGTCCACCTACTATGGTCAGGATGACGTCTGCTACAGGCGACGTCGCGTAAATCGTGCCGCTTGTATTCGCTACATGAGAATTCCGCGAACACACGCCTGATTTTCATTGGGTTAAACTGTGTCCGCTTTAATTGTAGGCGGTGAGCTGGTTTACGGAGCGACGATTTAAGTCGGTGTAATATGGGTAGTACACGGCGTGGCAAGGATACGCGATGACTGGATATACAGCGACTAATGGTATTTTGAAAATGTGGAATTTTGATTTTCTCGTATTCTAAGTTACTGATATTTAGGATTTTCATTTTTCGCAATTTACACGTTCAGTTGCGTACGTTTTACACATTACGCGCTAATTATACGTGTGTAAAATGGCAATGATATAATTAGTTCGTCTTTAAAGTTAGATTAGTAATTGAATTTGTGGACCATAATTGTTACGCGAGTTGTGTCTTGGCCGTAACGAACAGCCTTACATCTACCCTAAATAGAAAGTACGTCTTCTAAGTGGATAGAAAATAGAATATCTGAACGGTATATCGGAGTCTGGTTCTACTTAGTCAATTAACTTTAGACAAACCATCGTTCAAAGACCATTAAACTATTTCTCAGGCAATAATTTTGTCTCTTGCAAATGAGGCAGAGAAGAAGATCTTACAACAAGCCAGCCCCTTGAATCTGTTTGGGTTGGGTCCGATCTGACGTTTCAGTCACGGTACGCTTGTAGACCGCGTAAATGTCATTCGAGGCTTTTCAAACGAACCGTAACTGCAACGTGACTGGATCGCTGCTGTTCTGTGCGTTACGCGACATTTGTTTAGTGCACTCGAGCAATTTGTATTCCTATTTATATGCCTTGCTGTTCACCGAGAACAAGATCGTATATAGAAGGTTTATTCCTTTTGAAAGAAAACTAACAATCGATAGAAACGAACTCGATCGATTTCAATTGGAATGGTTTGGAAAGAAATTGAAGGATCGTCCTGGTTCCTTGCCATCGCGTAAGTCGTTTTATGCTTGTCTTGTCTGTAACGATTCAACAGAATGGCTCTCATAATGCGACACTCGTCTCTTCCGCGAAGACTCAGCGCATTTTGCGAAAGAATGCGTTCGAATACCGTTCGCGGATTAACGATCGGTCTGTCCACTGCCGGCAGATTCTACTTCCCGAATGCAGCATGCGTGCAGCCTTGTCATTCAACATTTTTCAGATATCTTTTCTCTTCTGATTTTAGTGATTTCTTTGGTGCAAAAAATAACGCGAAGTGTGATATCTTCCATTTGTACAATTATTTAAATATATTGAAGAATCTCGTGTTTTAAACTTTCTTCCAGTTACCGAGCTTTTCGATAATTGAGCAGTAATATGTTGTTTAAACAATGAATCCGATGATGTGATATAACGAGCGTCGTTCTATTTGATGATACTATATAAGAAACAAAGTGAAATTTCATTTTGAAGATCGTAGAAGAATTTCGTTTTGAAGACCTGCGTAGTCTTAAATTTATACAGCCACAGGATTTTAAGTCTGAATAAATTTTAGCGAAAAAGCTAAAGAAAATTGGTGTTCAAATTTATGGGACAAGAATGGAACAGCTCTAAGTATATTTCGCGAGGCGATAGTCGTTGAAGGGAAAACTGCGCAGCGTAGTTTTAGATATTTCACACGTTTTACCGTTGTTCAACGGCAATTTCTTAACCGAATTATTATAAAGTTGCGAAGTTTATTATCTAGTAATATGAAACGCAAACCTGAGGAAGACAATTTCAAACTGCACCCACTGAGACAGTCCTAGAGTTTCACTAGCCTTAAGTGGCCAGCCATTTAAATTTGCATCTCTTTAGTTGTACAAAAGTCGAGCCGTGCCTCTGACTATACCCACGTGGCTGTTTGCTATGAGCAAACCGCGAAAGCGAAAGTGCAAGAGAATCGACCTATTCACAGAGGGTCCTGTAAAAGACTTTCCAAATCGCTGCATAATCAAATTCTTTACCCTTTTTTATCTCCATACTCTTTCCTCGAACAAGTAGCATGTCTACATCTTTACATCTAAAGCTTTGGAATAAATTAAACGAACATTTTTAGCTTCTACTAGAATTTTACGAAGCATTCAACGTTATTAAAAATTAAATACCGAGCAAAAATATAAATAACTAAAAATCAAAGTATTTCTAACAGATAGGGACAACACCCCATTAAAACTCGATAATGGAATAACAACCGAATATAATCATTTGCGATTCTTTGTTTTATAACTAGACTGCAGATTTGTACAGAAATTTATAATTTTATAAACACATGTGCAAAAATTGAATTTAAGCATGTGCTTAAACATGTGCAGAAATTTATTATAGCAATTAGATGTTGCAAGAAGAACGCTATTTTGAATATTTTGCGTATTACGTATAGTCTATAGAATTTTGCACTTTTAAATTTCGAACAAACGCATAAAAATCCGCGGTTACCCATACCCTAACAAATCTTCAGTTGTACGAGTTTAAATCTCATCTGAAAAGAATAGGAATAAAAAGGAAGAAACACAGAGACCACACAGATCACTTAACAGAACCAGTCCTCCTCCTCGGTGGTTACTTTTAAAGGACGATTTAAGCTTTGTCCAGCGGCATGCGTCTCTTCCAAGGCGATTTGCACTGAAAAACGATAACCCTGAGCTATTGCTTGGGCGTTGCTTGTTTCTCGTAGTCCCGACACGGAACGTTTAAACGTGTCACGTGTCGGAAGAACGTCGCTGAACTCGACTCCCACGGAATTTATTGCCAGTGCAACGGTAGCGCTGCTGCCTTGTTTATCGCGTCTCTTGTATCTTCCATATGCATCGCTCTTTTTCCTGTTTCTCTCTTCCTCCCTCGCGTAATATCTTAATGCCATGATGAGATCATCGCGTGATTTACTCTCTCGCTTGTGCAATGAGGAGCAGCACGCCGCTGTCCGCCCACTTCTGCTGAATCTAACGAAACGATTCCGCGCTTCATACCTTCTCGTCTGGTATGACTGTGGTCAAGACTTGCAAAATTCGACAATTCGCGAGTGATATTATATATATATATGTTAATACAATGTAATAGTATCGTGTATGCAATTGGTTTTCTTAGAAAGTTTTTCTTCCCCAAACTCTTGACTTCTGATTCATAATTCCGACGTCGATTAACTTTTGCAGTAATTAATCCATACATAGATTCTTTACAACCACTCATTCTTGCACACGTATATTATCTCTTGCTCTATTTCTCAGCCTGCTTTAGTGTAGTGAATTTATCGGACAAGTCACATAAAGATTTCTTTCAAATTTTTCTAATATTCTAAATCAAATATAACGGCTACAAATTTTCCAATGAAACGTTTCTCTACCTAGCTTTAAATTTTATTTCCATAGTACCAAACTTTTGTAGTAAAAAGTACACAATACTACTGAATAAGGAGAAATCTAATATTCTCAGATTTAGTTAATTAGTACACGTAGATGCTACTATAATCAATACAATAATGTGGAAATACCTTTTGCAGCCACTGTGTACCATGTAAAATTGGACGATGGAGCTGAAACCTTTGAAAAGAAATGTTTGCTTGCGTTTTTGGGGAGCGAGGTTCGACGAGAGATTACTTGGTCTCGTCGAAGGGAAACGAAGTAAAAATAGTCGTTCCGGACAGCTTTAGTCTCGTGCATTTGTTTTCTCGACGCCGTCTGTTACTCGAAGCTCGATTACATTGGATAACGCGAACAGACGACTTTCTCTGAAAATGGATCTCCAAAGGACGCAGCTTTCCTTGAACTTTACAGTTGCAACTTTGTTTGAAGTTTGTGGAACAGAAATTAGAGACAGAATTCCTTCGTTGTATCCTTTCGTGGACAAACGTTTATTAAAATACCCTCATAATTTTTCGCAAAATTTAGTTTCCTATAAACGAGTACATACTATTGTGACAGAATTGTCATTTTTCATTTGACACCACAATATTAATAATCTGTCGTGATACGTGTCTGTTTTCCATAAAACCGCTCAATTATCGTTCCACGCATACCTAACACACGTCGTTAAATTCTCATAACATGAAACAGGAAAATTTCCCTCCGTGATTGTCAAGAATCACTCAAAACTGAATCTCTCGACTGCATACACATCGTGTATTCCACTCTCAACGAAGATCATGACACGAAAGGAGCAAAAAACAAGCACGAATCAAGCGTTCGCGACAAGTGCACGTCCGTCGAGTGTCATCCACCGTCCAATCAGAGCCATCATGGAATCACGTTCCATGGCAAATGAGATGATAATTGATTCGTCGAGCGCGACGCGTGTTCTTCCTCCGCTGGTTTCGCTCAATTTCGCGGCAGTTTCGTTCGGAAACGCGGTGTTCTCCAGCGACTTTACACAAGTAAAGGTCGCTATTTCTGGCTGGCTATTAACGAGCCTTAATTCGCGGGATTAGTTCGAGTCGTGCGGCTCGAACCGTGAAACCATAAAGCCTAGCTGTTACGACGGAGCCGGTCCGTGGATGCGGCAGTCACCTGCCCCGGTTTTTCAACGACGACCGTTAAACGTTCCTCTTCTTCTTGCATGCGCTTAACGTCCGGTGGCTGACTTTTACAGTCACGGTTATTTCCGGATCGTTGCCACGACGCGCTGTACTCGTCGTTTTCAAGCGTCGTTCTTTATTAGGACATGTTCATCATCGAGCCGCGAATTGTATAAGGTCGGTTGATAAAGAGAGTCGAAGGGGTTGATTGAAACGTTTCCTTCGATCAACACTGGAGTTAGTGGTAGTTTGAGTTTGAAAGAATGTCTTGTCTGATTAGACCGTGCGTGATATTAGTATAGATCGAATGTCTATAAGCATAAGCGGAAATGATAGGAAAAGGAAGACAAGAGTAAGAAGAATTTAAATTCTAGTGAGAAGATCGTGAGGCAATCTTTATTTTTAGGTTAATATTGCATGACAGCCGAACCTAAAATAATCGCGAAATAGTTAGTATCTGTTATCACTTGACGTCTTATTGCCGGTTGAACCCTGACCTCGGCATAATTTCCGATTTCAGACGATCTATTCTAATAGTCAAATTGATACACAGTTTTTATGCTCATATATAATATACAATCAGCCACCGCGAGTAAAATAATAAATAAACAGGAAACATGTGAAAGAAAAATAGCACGTTTATCCATAATACATATATATATCACTCGTTCGGATGCACAAGACTTTAAAAAAGATTGCTGTAAATTGAATTGTCTTTTAACAAACACAAGACCCAAATTCGTCTGTTGTAAATTCATCTAAAAAATTTAATAAAACGAAGCGTCCACTAAAAAGAGTAAACAGAATAAGAAGAATTTTCTTGACACCTCATCGCAATGTGCCATGTGTTTGCCAACAAATCGTTCCATATCTCATAAAACAGTGGCATTCGTGTAGCATTTATGGTCACAGAGTCATTCGAGATCCATTCCATGGAGTTCTGGTAGACTTCTGCATGTTCTTCGTTCATTCAGCGGTCGTCTGTCCACTTCACATCCGTAAATTTCAATGGTAGCCCGCGTTCTCGTTAAATCCCGCTCTTTGCTCGCATTTTCCACGCTCGTCTGTCCCTTGAATTTACAGTGCGTCGCGTCCCGTGAAAATGCTCGGTAAAAGTGGCGGCCTGTTACGACTGGCCGTATTCCAGCTACGACTTCGCCGATTCGATCGCCGCTTCCTCGTACGACGCAGGAATTTACGACGTGATTGTTGAGAGTCGATTAATGGCACGTCGAAATGGTCGATGGTCAATTTGAGATTAATCCGCCATTACATTCAATTAGATTTGTATTAGGTCTCGAATGTTCCAAGTAAACTTCTATCTTGCAATTTTTTCTTCCTCCGACACTTTAGTAGAAGATAATTTACGTATCTCCGTTACCATCTAAGAGCCTGCACACTACGATTACGCCTTTCGATTCTAATCTATGTAATTTGATGAACGAATCTATTTTCTGAGAATTTTTACGCTGACCACGAAGATCATCAAATGATCAACGAGTGAACAAATCTAAACATTTCTCTATTTTACTAGCAAAATACATAATTAATGTATAATCTTTCGAGAATCAAATTAACTCTGAGTCATTTTCAGTTCGTCTTCCGTGGATATATATAAATAGAAACTCGATATAAATCCTTAGAAGAAAATTTCCTAGGGCGAGTAATAGTCATAAATATAAAATATAGATTGAATTCGCTCCCGTTCTAAATTAGATTAACACGTATAACATTCACATATATAGAAAGATAAGAAGCAAAAGTTTAATTGGCTATCAGTCGGCTCAGTATTTAGAAAGCAGTCCCCGAAAATCTCGGCCAAGTATGTATTTACTTAAGTTATACTGAAATTCTCGCCAGTAATCGCCATTTCTACCAATCCGTTCGAACTCCAAACGAAACGCGGCCATAGTTTTTAATCAGGAACCCGTAAAACGAGTGATAGTAGGAGTAGATAAAAGGGAGCAACATTAGCGGCTAATGAGATCGATAATTCAACGGTGATCGTGGATTCGAGAAAAGACGGTCTCGTGACTCGGCCCACGAGCATAAACCGCTCCGTTTGGTAAACACGGTCCATGCTGATCGTTTCGCGGGAATCGTTAAATCGGTCGTGCAGAAAACGAGTTGTATTTAATACACAATATTAATGAGGGCAGTTCTTTGTGCGCGGGCAAGTTATACCGGAATAACTCGTTCCGATAGGTTCCCACTTCTCGCTGGACGATTGCTAAAGCTCGGGTAAAGGTACAATGTCACGCGTGCTGCACGCCAATTAATATCGTCTGTCGCTGTTCTTTCTCGATAAATCGCCGGATCTTAACACGTCTCTGTAATTACATTTTTCTAGCTTTCAGTGTTCTCGGATACTTTCAACGAGAAGAATGTCCGTTAAAGATCAACTTCTTTGCTTGCTTTACGCGCGAGTCATTTAGAAGATAAACTAATTGGTTGCATCTTCTGGAAATCTCAGAATTTTTGTATTAAAATGTCACTTCAAACGATCAATTTCGGTGAAATGGATCAGTCAGGTTTCTATGTGACTTGAACGTTAGACGATATCTCATTATCTCTTTTCGATATGGTATTCAATAAAATAGATACTTTGATGAGGTGATTTCCAGCTGTACCTTGTTTTCCTCCGGAGCATAAAATAAAATTCACTTTTAAATCAAAACAATCGCCGAAAAAATACTTGGAAGAATACTGGAAGAAATTCCTGGTCACAGAACTATATTCCTGGTCACTATAAAATTGCAAATTCACCAAGAGATGACATGAAACGTTAGTTCTAATTGTAAAACGGACATATTTATCGACACTTCGCAAAGTTTACACATAAAGAGGGAAACATTTTTGTCCCCTGTATATTGTGTCAAATAAAAGCAATTTCCCCATAGTTTTAATTATTTTAACGTCAGCAAATAGATTTTAACTTTTCTAAATACCTCTGGAAGCCGATAAATCCACCTTTCCATGTCGTACTCGAGCGGTACACTTGGAATCGTTAACAGACCGACAGCGACGTCGAGGAATCCGTTTCTCGCGGAATGCTAATCACCAGACGGGCGATCTCCGCCGTTTCACCAGACAATGGAACGGCGATCGTACGGAATACGAAAAGAAACGAGTCAAAGGAAAGCATCGATCGTAAGAGGGTGAGAAGAAAGATCGGCTAGGATTCACCAGCCTCAAACGGGATCGTAGTCGTGGAAGAGCGAAGGAGGAACCGAAGAAAGACTATATGTATCTCTGCTCGTTTGCTCGTCCTCACGATCGTCCTCGCTCCGTCTACTCTCTTTCGCTTTTTCTTTCTTCCCCGTTGCGACAACTTTTTATGAGACGCGAGGCTAACATACTTCCTGCACCGAGACGGACTGAAATTCCACGCGATAGTCGTCACGATATGTAGTAAGAAGCTAATCGAGCTGGCTCTGCTGATCCCGCGGGAGGAGAAGCCTCCGCGGGGTGTCCAGGGAACGTCTTCTCCGAATCCACTTGAGAGACGATGAAAATCACGCGATACGTTTCATACATCCCCATGGGAAGTGAAAATTCGAACGATAATGATCAGCAAGAATTTGAGACGCCTAACTATAAGTTACTCCAATGGTATAGTGATAATTTCTTTATCTTCGAAGTTAATCTTCATGGTCAAGACAAAATTTTAAAAGATATACAGAAATTGTAGGGAAACCTAGCAAATTAAAATGTATGTCGAGAACACGAATAGGAATATTGGTATAAAATGTGGAATTCTGTTCGCATAATAGAAATTCAGCACTTCCCTTCGCTGTTTAATGATGTTTCATGAAATGAATTGAGCAAAATTTTCCAACTAAAATTTCGTTCTAATAAACATAGAAAGGAGGATGATTGATAAATTGCAAAAAAAATACGACCGAGAATATATTTCTTTCCACAAGACATCTATTGTAGTTTCTACGGATAAAAGGCGCGAAATACAGAACTTTCTGGTAATTTGTTATTACAGGAATTATCATTTAGCTACGATCATTAGTATCGTCAGCTGTTAAAGATACGTTTACAATGATCCTCTGAGATATCTTATGGGACTACACAAAAGGGGCTCCTGCGGTTAACAATACCGTGAGAATACGAAGCAAAAGAAGGGTCGTACCGATTATTAATCTTCGAAAGGTGACGGATCTTCAGCATGTACCTTACGACCTATTCGCATGGCTACATTGTCCGCTCGTGACCCTGTGTTCTTCGTTGGATAGCGGTAAATTATTCCAACGATCTCGACACATTAATAGAATCACAAGGAAAGAAAGAGAGAGTGGAGGAGAGAGCAGATCTCGCGACAGGAAGTTTCACCGCGGGGTGTCCAGCGCCCCCGAGGTCAGTCACCATTTTTATGCGGCTCCAGAGTCACGGGTGATTGGCACGTCGTCATTTCTTCATCGCAGCCAAACGCACTTCAAACCGATTATTAATTGCATTATTAAATGCGTAATTATTTGGAAGAGAAACGCGAAGAAGAAGATAGGCAACGGAAGTTGACCTTCCTTTCACTCAGTCGCCGTGTCACTGTTTAGTGATTTTATTCTGTCACGGTATACCGTTATTAATGGCAGATGTTGAATCTCCTAATTTAGATATTTAGAAGTTTGAACCTTCTTGCATAGAGAAACGCTTTAAAAAATGCCGATCAAGCAGCAATTTTTCTTCGCAGTTAACAAACTTTTAATTCCAGAAGAAGGTTAACGAAAGACCTATCGCGTTGCAGAGAAAATTCCAAATCACTATACTCAAAGATTAAACTTCAATTTTTTATAAAAATACTTGTTCTAAAAGAACTCATCCCTTCGATCGTTGCACCATAGGAGGAGGGGATAAGGAAAAGCAATGGTCCAACATCTGTTCGCTATCTGCGGCTTGTCCAAGGATCAACCCATAAATTGGCGTGTTAGTTCAGATAAGGAGTCCAAGAGGAAACTCAAACAAATGCTTATCCTTTATCTGATACTCGTTCCTCGTCTCTTCGCCTAGCCATGATGCTGCTCGTACAAGATTACCGACAACCGAGCACTGGTATCGATGTTACCGCTCGCTGAATCGTCCGGCTGTGAATCTGGCGCGTTTGACAAGCCGAAGGAGCAATTCCATGGATTTACGATTCGACGGAGACGGGATGGTGTTTGGTGCACGAAAACATCGTAATCGAGAACGAGGGGGCGAAAGGATGCACTAAATATAAACCGGGGACTGTGTACTTCGCGGGGAGACGTTATCGAGATCATCGGTGGCGAACCAACAAAAAACTTCGGTTAAGTGTTCCGCTCGAGCACGAAGCTTGCTCTTTGATGTTGTTCAGACTGTGGGTGGTAACTCGAGAACTATTGCTGTTTGTTTTCATCTAAATTAGATTTTAATATACCTTCTGCGACATTTTTATTTCATGGCGATGAATCAGGGTTCGTAGTTCTTTAATCTGTTACTCGCTTCTCATTCTCTTAAACGCGGCTACGAAAAGTATTTCTACTCGTACATTCTCTTATTTTTACAGAGAAGCATCTTTTTATCGCGTTCTATATTTCATTTTTGCAGCGAGTATCAAATTTTTGCAGTCATATATAATGACCACTAAGTTACACGATATTTAATGTACTTGGTCTTATTTAATTAGTGTGTAAATGCGTGCGTATAGTGCGTAAATATAGTAGTTACAATTGTATAGAAATATTTTTTATGGTTGCTGTATATACCAGATTGTGAGAAGCATCAGTGAAGTGGCAGGAAAAGGTTCTTAGCTTTCAAGTGTCCCACTTGAGAATTTAATATTCCTGGTATCATGAGTTATTATTACGAGAGTTACTATCACGAATTTTTACCTAAGTTACATTTTATCAACTCCTTAAAGCATTTTCATTTCACGACGAAGGATATTATAATTTTATGGTTCATATATTTTTAATAGACACTGATTCTCCAGAATCTTTGAAAATTTTGGAAACGATTAATATAAAGATCAAAATTATCTGGATTAATGATAGATCATAAAAGTATCGATAACGCGTTTAATCGCGGAAATAACCGTTTGTTGAAGGTATAATAGGTTTGTGAAGGTTTTAAGCAACTTCGGATATCTCGAAGCGATAATTCGATTGAATATTCCATCGGATCCTTTATTTTAGCGTTCGAAGGGGAATACAGGTGCGGAAACGACAAGCCTTGAAACGCAGGATCAACAGGAGAATTCGAAGACGGCTACGAAATGAAATTATAGTAATTACCAGGGTATCTTAAGCGAAAGCATCGTTTCCTCCGCCTAGGCTCCGGACGATTGCGTCGCTATTACCGGGTTTAGACTGACACAATGCCTCACCGTAGGCCCCCGAGGCTTCACGCGAGCCTGAAACTACCTACTAAACGCCATTCTACCAATTTCTTTGCCGGCACAATAAATCGGCACAGATCGTTCGGCACTCGCGGAAGAACACCGTTTCTCTTCGATGTAGGTAACTGATTGTTGCTTCCATGAAAACGACTTCTAAATGCCCGGTGCCTTCTGTTCGCGTCCCCATCCAGGAATTCTATTTGCGGCACGTTGTACACGGCGAACGTGCCATCGACTTTCGTCTTGAAATAGGAGGGTAAAATATCTCGCGATTAATGGAATGGCGAAAAATTCCAGGTATATTTATTTTGTATCTTCGATCGTTTGCAAATGAGACAGTTAGTTTGATACTATACCATATGGTTTTGAATGGATCATCTTAAAGAAACGCAAACATGCCAAGGGTTAATCTCTTGTTCTGTAAATGAGGATTGAAGGTACTCGATTTACTTTCACTTCATAGAATATCAAATTAACGATCATCTATGGTCTATAAATTACCACGATCCGATTAATAACGATGATCCTGATGATCACGATGAATACGAATGAACTATTGTGATTTCCAAATGATATAGTATGTCCATGGTACAACCCCGATGACCTTTCGCGAGCTTCAAATGATCTTAATGTCCAATGAAACGAATTTGATGGCTCGTCTCTAAACTTTAAATGATCTTGAATTTCAATGACACGACTTCTATGACTTCTCGTGACCTTAAGCGTCAATGACATGATCTTCGCGATCCTTCCGTAACATTCACGTGATCTTAATCATCAATAAAATAACCTCAGTAACCCTGCATATTTTTCAAATGGTTTTAAATGCATTTGCTGTATCTAGTATGATGTGCGAAATTTCTTAAGAAATCTTTACAATACGAGTTGAACGTTTTCTTGCAGAGGTTTTCTTCTCATTTGTAATTATAATCACCGCATCTACGTCCATTAGACATCCACTTATCGCAGACTCGGTTCTGATGACGCGACGAATTGAATTATATATCATGTGCGCAAAAAAGCAGCTTCTGTGCGATACGGTGCCTGGATACATATTTTTACTTTTTCATCGTACAAACATTTTATTCACGACTTCGTCGAATTCGAACTATCTATGTACTCGAACTGTCGTCACACTGCTCGATTGTTTTGATCCGCGTTAAAACATTTACGAGGCAATTGCATTTGTACGAATAAGTACAGATAATCGTCAGACTTAAATTTTAATCAAATGCGTAATACCCTGTATGGTACGATCGATCCTTTCATTCGCGAAGTTATAGACAATATTAACGCCGCTTTGAACGAGAAACGGGTTTGAATACTGAAAAGAATTGTCGATCTCGATGCATCAAACCGAGGCTTGATTTCGGTTAACGATGTCTTGAAACGCTGTCGACTTTCGTGTAAAAGGCATGTTACTCGCAAATACGCGGTTATCTCGGTTTTAATTAAGCAGATTAGTATGCGTCCCACTCTGATTATCTTGTTCTCGAGATTTGCGAGATGTTTTTTGTAATATTCGCTCGCTTTTTTCTCTATTTATACGTCGAGAATGTTATGAATATTTTCCGCCAGGCGGTTGCTCAATTGCGCGTGCACCGCATAGAAACAATCTTTTGGATCGGATTTCCACGCAGAAAGTGAAACTAATGAAACGAGGGCCTGGCAAACGCCGCTGCTAATCGGAAGCTTTGCTCGCCACAATTGCTTTTTTTCCTAGCAATCGTGGTTTAGTGCTCTACACACGCCACGTGCCCGTTCAATGGCTTGAAGATACGCGAGTATTTAGAAAGTACCTTGCCGTAGATACTACGGATACGTAAGTACCGATTGTTCTTGCTCAATTGAACATTTTTTGGATGCTTGTCATACGGTCAAGCTATATCGAATCTATTTATTTCTCGATACTTCGATGTAAGTCTAAATCTGATTGCAAATAAGAACTAGAGCGTGTCAGTTCACTAAGTGATTAGTCGTAAACTGCACTGAACTCAATATCAATCAAATACTCCGAATTCTTTCTCGCGTTATCCTTCTTTACTCTGTCACCACAGAGAGCCCGCTAATCCTAAAGAATATTTACTGAGATTGCGTACTACAAAATTAATAATAATATACGTAAAAAGTTAAAAAATACGAACTTATTACCACCGTATCCTGTATACGATTTGTAACGAGAATAATCTTATCTCAAAAGGAAATTGAATCTGACTACCTCAGTAATTAAAACCCTTCACCGCACTTAAACTAAGTATGAACCAAATACTCTGAATTCTTCTTCAAACTGCCTGCCATCAATTTACCCTATCATTCTAACAGTATAAACGACTTCAACGCTCCATCACACTTAGTAAAACAAAATTTTCCCATCTCATTAGCAACAATGAAGGCACTCACACGAAACAGCCAATCAACGTCGGCAGAAAGTTTCTAAATACTCACCGAGACGTCGTCGAGGCAGACAGCGAAGCGTATCGTGGCGAGAAATAGCAGGAGGAACAGGAGGGACGCATTCGCCCCCAACAGTCGAGCGATCATGCCCTGTGAATCGAGGCCTGCCAGTGGGGGCAGCGAGCGCAGACAGTTCGACGACGTCGAGGACGTGCTCGACGACGAAGCGGGCCGGTGCTCCTGTCGCGGATACATCGCTTCATGATCGCGACGTGCCCGCGTGCTCGTCCCTTCGTCGACGCAACTTTCGTTCTCTCGTTTCCTCTCCGTTTGTACGGTGCGTGTCTTCCTTCCTCTCTGTTTGTCTGCGTTTCCCTTCGAACTTCCACCACCGTCTTCCTTTCCTCCTTTCTCTCCTCCTTGCTGGAGAGGAGATTTACGCGCGCGCGCGCGTGATTCTACGTGCGCGAACTCGCGAGTCCGCGCGCGGCTCTATAAATACGGCCGCGACTCCACGCGAAGAATTTCAAACGAGCTCGCCGTAAAACACCATGAGTGGAAGAACCTGGGCCTCAAGGAGGAGCTAAAAGCCTTTTCCCTCGACGACGCCGCTTCTGGATGGCCCCGTGGTACGGGGCAGCTTCAAAGCGACCACTCGACGCTCGTTAGAAGTCTTCTGCTCTCGTTCGTACGCTCCTGAAACCATCGATCAGAGAGGAGCTTGTTATTAGCGTTTTTCCGGATACTCTCACCCGAGGTAGTTCGCGTTCGCTTGTTAATCTCGAGTAATACGCTGCAACGAGCTGATGGAAGGTTGAAGCTCGTTGTTGCTTAGAGACTGATGATCGTGTGAGGATGAAATTGGTATGGATTTTACGATGGAATTCGATATTTTCTCGAAAGAAGAAGTTGTTAGAGCGTAGATTCTATGCTGTCGGGTTTAAGAGGTCCAATTAAAGTGGAGGAAGTAGCTTCTTCTTATGGCTCGTTGGGTAATTGCCGATGTTCACTCGCGTATTGCCAGCAATCAGTTTCTGCTGCTCTGCTAATTGTGCCAATGAACGACAAGCTCGTAAATTATTGGTAACAATTAGCCGATAAAACATCAATTCTCTATAAATCCTTTTCCTGTATCTTTTGCTCCTGCTTGTGTGAACTTACAAGGAACGAAGTACGCGAATATTCGCGAAGTCACGAACGACTCGATTATTCATTCGGAATTACCTGTTCAGCGGATGTGAATGGAAAATTAATCGACTCTGCTCGTGAACTTTAACGGTAGAAACAATCAGCGAGTCATTGGATCGATGGTCTCGAGCGGAAGTAGTCGAGTGTGTAGGGTTACAGTAGGAAGATCTCGCGAGGAAGATATATACGTGTGGGATACAGGTGGTGAGGCACGTTCCCTAGCGAAAAGACTCGAGAACATTAGGAACCTCCACGCAAACCAGCGTTGTATACATGTTACGATTGTTTATGTAACGCGAAAGTTGATACGATTCATGGGTATCTCTCCTGTTTCATCGGAAATCGAAGAATCGAGGTGTCTTGGTCACGAGAACCATTCGTTCATACTGTTATCGAACTTTATTACCCAACAGATTAAACGTAATCAAAGCGAAAAACAAAAAATCAGGAGTATGATAAAATTTTATAGTAGAAAAAGAATACATTATATATACCTTATCTGTTGTAGCCATACTTCGAGGGATCACGAGTTCGACCATCATTCAACGTTTTACTGAACCGAGAATAAAAGTTTATTGATTTTGCACCGATACTGTTCGTTACCATTAAGATTGGATTATTACACGATAAGAAAAGACACCAAATAAATTGTTTTGTACTTTCTCGAGGAGGATTGCACCGCTTCGACGATCCTTCCTTTGACCAACCAACGCAACGTCTGCGAGTTCTCAGCGGGATTAGAGTCGACGCACGGCCATGGAACGGTACGTTCTCCAGCCGGTAAAATTGTTCAAGTTGAAGTACAGCAAGCCAGCGGCGTGCCAACGGCCGATATTTTTAGTCCTCCTTGCCTCCACCATCTGTCTTCGGGTTTTGGTTTCCTGGTCGTTTTAGACGCACCGTCGAGACTGCGCGGTTCTTTCCTGCTTTTTCGTGGCAACGGTGCAGACTGTTCGGTGACTATCGCCGTAGACACTCGACGCTTCTCGACTGAACACCTTAACTCCTTTGGGTAAGGGTGGCTAGCTCTTCGACTGGTCGACAATCTTTCGAAAGAATCGTTCTACTGTTCTGTCTTTCAACATCGATTACTTTTTCCGAGAGACACTTCTTATCGCGCACTTAAGAGCTTCTGCTAATTGAGTTTCTTTGTTCGTACAGTGAAACGTCTTGTCAGGTGTTATTAACGAGTAGGAAGTACAAAGTCGATCGCAAACGAGGCTTGCGTTTGGCGTGCTGGAGCTTCTCGAGCACACGCACGTGGCTCCAAGCCGACTGACGAGATACACGCGCGAGGAAGTATCAACAGAGGCTGAGAGGAGTGGCTACCAAGCGAAGCGGAAGTGGAGGGTGATTCTGCGGGAGCTGCTGTGGTGGGGTGTACTCTGATAGGGGGTATTCTTGGTGGATTCTCCGTAAAGAAGATACGCTTGGGGACCACGATGGGGAGACGACGATCAGTCCTTCGAAAAGTATCGGACCGAAGATGGACATTGAACAGGGTTATGTTTGATTCTAATAAGGACAACGTTCGTCCGTATAATGAACGTGATGATGAAAGCATGGAGCGTTTTCAATGGCGAAGAATCATCGTCGTTGATCCAGGTTGACGTTTTAGGAATGAGAGGAGAGAGCGATTTTCTCGCGAAAGGCCACGTCTGTAGAATGTATTTTAACACCGATCTTCTATAGAATAGTACTGGTCGAAGGATATGAATATGGGTCAGTTGTTACGCACCTTTTATGAAATGGCAATAAAACATACGCGACAAATGTGGAAGTGTAATGACGTTACGGCTAGAAATATCTAGGATGATTCAGTGATAATCGTAATCTTGACTAAACAATCTAGCAAAAAAGTGTATATACCGTTTGATCGATAAAATGACGGGATTTTTTTGTCGAATGATGATCGAAGGACACCTATCGATCGATACTTCATGAACATGCGAATGTTTCGTTTTTCACCGCGAAGCGACGAAGAAAGGGGTGTCAGGTTGTTTGGAGACATCAATTCGCAAATGTCGATCAAGGTGACTATTAACGCAACTGAGTAATTCGAAAACCCATTCTTCCGGCAGCGGGATGAGGGAAGACAGGCCAGGGTCGTTTGGAAGATTCGGTTTAATGACACACGCCGTTCTTTAGCGGAGTATGTTTGTGGTTTGACCACGCCCAAACCTCCGTGAAGATTACACGAAATTACCCGATTTTTGGGAAAAAAGCCGACCTCGAGCCGCTCTTGAGACGGTTGATTTTATAGCAAGAATAACCATTTTTCCTCTCGAGAGTGGCCTTGATACCAAAGACGAATCATGAGCATTCCTCATGTTCTTCGTTGTTTATTTTCGGAAACATCGACGCTCGTGTTGAAACATCGACTCGTAAGGACTGATGGATTCGAAAGGATTGATGGACTCGAAATTATATCATATGTTTTAAGTTTTCAACATTTTACTGGTCGTTGGTATCGTTTAATTGAAACAGCACCATCCACGGTGGAAGAGTCTGTTGCTTTCAGAGTTAATTCCCACGCGAACAACCGCGAGACGAGACAGGCTCGCGTCCTGATCGTAGACCCGTGTCCTTTTAAAGTTAAAGAGACGGTGAATGCCGCAGGAACCTAAGGGACATCGGTATATAAATCAACGTCTGTGTCGGTGCGAGCAAAAGAAAGAGAGAAAGAGGTAGACAACGAAGAGACGCGAGCCGCACACAGGAGAGTCGAGGCTCTCTCGGCTACTTATGCTAATGCCAGCAAATCAATTTATTTATATTTATTTATAGCATTCAAATGTTTCCTCGGGACCGAGCTGTATCTTGTTCCGTTCGCGGACCACCCGCAAAAGAGAATCAATTCTGTTACGGGCCACAGATAACTGTAGGGTTCCTCTATGAAGCAAGCTAGAAATCGACACCATGTCGTCGAGATTTTGGGTATTTTTCAAGCCCAACTTGACCCGGAAGTGTGACGGTATGATTACATATTAAATCGAAATTTTTAAAAATAATAAGACTTCGAAAATTTGAAAGTTTAAATATTTGGAAATTTCAAGAATTCGAATATTGATATTTGAAAATTCAGAAATTTGAGGATTGAAAAATCTGAAACATTGTAACCTCAGAAAATTAAAAATTGAAAATTGGCATGGATTTTTTATCATGTCTATATATCGCGCGTATCTGAGATAAGAATAATCCTCAATGTTTGTTAAATATCAGAGGTTCATGTTCGGATAAATAGTGCATTACGAGGCTTTCAATTAACTGGTATGTTAATTGTTGTTTCGTGGTGCATTCTTTCGTGAGTAGACTTGTGACTATTAAATTAAGACTGTATTTCTTCGAATGCCTCATATATCGGGCGCGGTCTCGACTCGGAACCTGGTCACGTGATCCGAAAGAAGACGAATTTGTTCGAACTGATCAGGTGCGTACAGACTACTGTAATTCCATTAATAACTTTCTTTATTTTTTGTAAATATATTAATGAATTACTCGTTATACCCATAAAAATTTGTATGTGACTAACATTTTGATATATTCTTCTGTTATACATAAAATTATACTAGACTCTTCGGTATGTAAGTTTGATTTAAAACAAAATTTATTCAATTGAAAATAAATTTGAGATTTATTCCTTTTCACTTACAATCGAAGTATATAACATTTTTGATGATTCATTTGTAACTTGTAACAGTAGAATATTTTCGAGTATCAGCACCAGCCCTGTTACGATATTAGTTCATTAGTGGCGTTGTCGTTGTCATATGTAGGCGTGTTCAGTTGGAGTTACTAATTGTTACGACTTGACGTGAGTTTCAAAGTTCTCGTAAAGTGATCTTCAATATCTAAGAAAATGGCAAACAAAACAAGTTTTCATATTTTATTAATAGTATTATTCGTTTTCTGTTGTATTCAGCAAGGTAAATATTGCTCTGTACAATGTATCGTTTAGTTTTCCTCCTTAACCTCAATATATTTGTAAGAGATAAATTATGAAAAACAGAAGCTTTATGCAATTTTTTTGTATTATTAAATTACCAGTTGTACAAAATATTCATCACTCTAATATATTACGTATATGCGTATAAATAAATAATATTTTATTACATTAAAACAATTTTGACAATTTCACTTTATAAACAGACGATAATAATTGCTACTGTATATTTTTACAGGATTATCTATCAAATGCTGGGTTTGCAGATCCGATTCTGATCCAAAATGTGCAGATCCATTTGATAATACCACTGTACCCATAACTGACTGTAAACAAGAACCTGACTTAGAGCATTTGCCAGGTGTAAGGCCTACCATGTGTCGTAAAATTCGTCAAAAAGGTGTGTTAATAACTCCAAATTTTTTCGTAGCAAAATAACCTTTTGCAGGAATTGTTATAAGTTAGATTTTATTTTTATTCTTAGTCAACGGTGTATGGAGATATTTTCGTAGTTGTGCGTATATGGGAGAACCAGGAATTGAGGGGGATGAAAGATTTTGCCTTATGAGGACAGGGACGTATAATATATTTATGGAATATTGTACTTGCAATAGCAAAGATGGCTGCAATGCAGCCTCGTACAATCACAAAAGCATATTTACTTCAATTATAGCTTTAGCAATTTCGTTAAGATATATACTTGTTTATACTTTATAGTGTTGGCCATGTCGACAGAGCTAACTAGACAATATATATTTGAACATATTTTTTTTACAACATAAAGATTCTCTTGTACTTACTAATGCAACATTCTTTTCAACAATCATATGATCTGAACTTCAGGGAAGTAGAATATTCCAGTTACAAATTAGATCATACTCATTCAAAAACCATTTTGTACCATTGAACAATTCTTTTTTATAAGTGTTTTAAAGTGCCTCTCTGTGCCTTACTACCTACCAAGATGATAATGAACAAGGTATTTTTAAGACAGTTTTTTAGTAATATAGAATATTGCAAAGATACATTTTTATCTTTTCTCAGAGTATTGCAATTTTTTAGAGAAATATATTTTTATTAATATAGTATAATTTTTAATCCAAGCACATATATGCTTGTATCATACTTACTGTTTAATTTAGACTTGGTTAGTACAAAAGATTGAACATTATACCAAACAAATGTATTGAATAGTGTTAATATTTAGCACAATATAAATAAGACTGTAAATTCTGTCTATTAGAAACTTATAAATTTAGTATTAGTATGATACGATTGGGCCTTTTTGTATTTTTGTATGCATTTTCTAGAAGTGGTTAACGTTGCCACAGAAATAAAGCTATGATTGCTTGCATAATATATCATTCCCTTATATATGTTTTGTACATGTGTATGATGAAAAAGAGAATGAATAAAGCGATATGGAAAACATTCCGTGTAAAAAAATAAAAATCATCCTTTATGTATAACAACAGGTGTATTACATATAAAATATATCTCTGTCATACAGATGCGTGCGTTAATGATATTGTACATATAAATCTTTTGGTGTGACTGTTTAGACCTTAACGATATTCCTCGAAATACAATTAATTTCCGTAATAAAATACATATGCAATTAATTGCAGCGATATAAATAATTCTTTAAACAAAATACAATTATTTAAGATATAATACGTTAATGCCTACTTTCGAACAAAATTACATTTGAAACAATGAGCGAAATATTTATCACTACCATTTCTACTAAACAAATTGAAAATCGTCATAATGTAAAATATCCTACATATGTCAAAAAAAAAAAAAAAAGAAAAAGATATTTTTCCATTGATTTTCTGATTCATCTTAAAAGTACCTCAGAAAAGTGCTAATACAAAATAAAAAGTGGATCCGCTAGATTTAAATAGAGTAAAAACGCATTGTTATGTCCATATTATACATCTTACTGAGCAGCTGCTAATTATCTGCTTACAATTTCCTCTGGCACAAAATTTAATGTATATCTTCATTTCTCCCTTTCACAATTAGGATTCGATGAATTTCGTATTCGTTTCTATTCAACGGTGGTAACCACTTATTTATTGGACGGTTCTATTATTCCGATCCTTGGCAGAAACTTTCACAAATCTGTCTTGGAATCGAGGACGGTTGTATAAAACAATCGATATGTACAATCAAATCGATAAAATACTTTTGTGCAAGTTGTCTTACAAAGAATCAAAAAAAATAAGGAAAGCGGAATAAAAGTAAATTTCACGAAAGAAATAATTTACAATACGAATGCCTTTCATATTCACAGATGTTTGCCTAACATAAGTATTCTTTGGAACGACACTATCGACCGTGCGCTTAAATATTCATAACATTCGCGCGAATCGAAAGTAGGTTTATACTCGAAGGAAAACTGAATAGACGTCGAAGTTTATTGATCTATTCACGTTCTCACTCGAATGCCTGCCATTTCGTTATCTGTTGTCCCGATTTCGCTAGAGCCTGTTTCCACTGTTCACCATAGGTTCCACCAACATCTGGTCCTATTACAAAATGACCAACAGTCGTTTTCTTTCCTGAAATAACATCAAATGTTCATAACTAAGAAATGACCAAACAATTGATAAAACTTTTTCAATGAAATTTCGTTAGAGCAATGTGGCTTACCTAATTTATTTTTCGAGACGAATTTAACAACAAAGCTAACATCCTTCAGTGCTCCCTGATACGGATTATCCGCGATCACTCTTGCTGAGTCTGGCGCGAATTTCATAGACACGCAAGGTGCGAAACGATCGCTTTTCCAGAAATGAGTCACTCTACCGTTGTCTACAACAGACATCTTGATATACATCTGTCCTTTCAAGGCTTCGTGCTCGTGCATTGTCTGTAACGAACATCTCAGACGATGCAGAGACAGTGTCAGTTTTTCGCTACCCTCTTCGTTCTTGTCCGTTTTTTCTTGGCACAGTGACAACTCCACTTGGCCTTTCTTATTTTCCTTCTATAACAATGATAATGGAAAACTATTTAGTATAAACATGTCCTTACTCCAAAATTTAGGCACAATATCTATTTAACTCTTTTACGCCCGATATTATGTATATGCAACATTGTACTCTTATATGTTATTAATTAACTAAAAGATAAATATCGATAAATGTATGTTTTCAGTAAAACTAGCCCCAAATTTCAATACATTGTGTCTTGTATTAAATGATCTGAGGAAAATATATTTTTTTATTAGTGACTGATGAAAAATAATTTTTTCACAGCAGGAGAATTCAGTCTTGAAAGGATTAATGAAAAAGAAAAAAGAAAACATGGTATAATATAAATAGTATAACGTGGTATAGTAATACAGGGTGGTTGGTAACTGGTGGTACAAGCGGAAAAGAAGTCGAAAATATAGAATAAAAATTTTTTTTTTAATTTTTCCATCGAGACAACGATCTACAGTGAGATCCGTTATAACGTACCGCACGCGTACCGAGCGAAAATTCAAAGTCGATTTTCTCGAAAACAAAACCTCAAACGAAAAATTTTTATTCTATATTTTCGACCTCTTTTTTCGCATAGAATCACCCCCTTTCCGCTTGTACCACCAGTTACCAACCACCCTGTATAATATATATATTTGAAAATGTACCCTGTCTTCAGCTCCAGAAATGCCACTAGCAATTGGTCGCAATGGCTTCCACATATCTCCAGTAGACACATCACTTGGGTGTTTTGCTTTGTGTGGCTTTGTGGTGAAATTTTTCGGGTCCAGGGAAATCGTCGTGGCGCCTACAGTACGTCTCTTATCAAATAGTTTCCTTTCCGTTGTTGTAGTGTCCGCAGATTTATCCGATCCCTTATTAAACAACTGACTGAGTAATTTATTCTTCGTTGGCTCCTGATTCTCCGAAGATGCGCCCTGACCATCTTTTTTCTTATTCCCCTTTTTTGGAGATTCTTTAGTGGAAGACGAAGTCTTCTCTTCCTTCTTCTCAGTCGCTATCAATGGTTTGTCCTCGAGAACCGCGTACAAAGTCGCCACGATGAATCTGGATCCACTGATTTCTTCTTCTACCACTTTTGTTTTACCAAATTTCTGTTTCGTCTCTTTGCGTAGAGGAAACGTGAATTCCTCGTTCCATTGCGGCCACGACTCGTTCTTCGACGTTGTCTCGAACTTCTCCTTTCCCGGTATTAGCTTCACCTGGAATAGAAGCGACTTACTTTCCTTCCTGTCTGAGTTCTTGCTTTAGATATTAGACAGTTCATAGTGGAGTGAATGTTAGCTATAACTGTAGTTACTTCGATCAAGAACATTTTCGTTGAATTTGTGTGAAATATTCGAAACTTATCAGGGTAATGAAGTCACGAATGGGTCACGTGGAATTGTCATTCTACGCCGTTCCCGTAGTTATTACTCACGAATTTTACATAATTACACAGCCTAGCAACATGAAAATTCCTTTCAAGTTACGATCAACATCATTCTCCTTTCAGCATACAAAGGAAACAAGACGACGGCAAGTGCATCGAGCCAGAGTCTCCCCCGACCATTATAATTTATTTTATTTCAAACGTATCGTACGGAGATAAGGGGACGTTGTACGATTCCCACACGACGTTATTGTCTTCTAAGATTCGTGAGTCAATGACGGTTTTGATGTAGGCGCGCAAGTTTTGTGCGATTATTTCATCGAGTTACGTAACTATAGATAATGATGCCAAAGATCACAGTCTGCCCACCTAGATATCTAGTCCATCGTTATATACCTTGACTACGTAGCTGTTGACGCGTGTGAAGCCAAAATTCTGTGGCAAGTGACGAGCTCCCAGTACCGTCACATGCAGCGCTTTCTCGTTGATCGAATGAACGATCCTAATGCCCACTTCCGGTTCCAGATTCACCGTGCGATCTAACGGCGTGGACACGGTCTTCAGCCCCGTGTCTATAAAACTCTTGATCTTTGCCAAAGCCATTATGGACGTTCACTGCTGGATGTTCTCGATAAATATGTGCCTTCTTATCGATCTCGAGCGATTAATAATAACTCATGGTTGGAGCAATGACAATTCATGAGATCATCAATAATTCAATATCCCTTAACAGGTCGTTACTGCAAACAGAGAAAGCAAAATCTCGTCAAAATTACAAAAATAATAACATGGAAGGCAATATCTGGATACTCCAAAACCTCTACTAAATTGCTTGCTTTCGTTATCTATCATATGCTTTAATCGATAAACAGTCGTGTTTTTTCCGCTTGAAGCCGACTTGCCACGAAAGCCATTGACAATAATCAAACGCCGGTGTTTACCGCGCTTTGGTGCAACGCTCTTCGCGGTTCTAGACGAGCGATAAGACCCCAGCGGAAACAGTTGAGCTGCGATCAACGTCGATGAGTAACGGTAAATTTCAAAGTGACTCGCTGATCGTTCGAATAAGACTACGAAGTTACTCTGTCTCCTTGACAATCTTAAACTTCGAGCAAATTCGATCATAAAAACAGGTGATTATATCTATCAGCTGTTCCATCGAACGTGCTGCATCCTCATAAATATAGAATTTCAAGTTATAATAAGATCACGAAAGGAATTTATTCGAAGAACTGCATCTAGCGATCGAACTTTCTCCAACCGAGGAAAATTGTCCCGGTCACCGGGCGTTGTCACCTGTTCTTCGGGAGAAAAGTCCGCTTAGAAACAGCGTACGTACCATAGTCACGATGATTTCGACCGGCTGTGAAGCGTGGCTTGGAACTGGCTTAAAGAAATTGGCCGGTTTCTTGATGAAGCACGTTGCCAAGGGACGTTCACTAAGCGCGTTTACGACGATTATCCAGGACGAAACGTCAGATCACCGTTTCCATGACCACAAAGGCGAATATAAACACGTAGCAGGATAAAGGTTGCGTGTCTTTCACTGGCCATGCACTACATCGCCACGCGGCTCGATCTCTTCAGCTCTGTTACGCATCGTGTGGCTGATTTGAGATAAGACTATGTACGTCACTGAGAATCACTAGAGTTTTTGTCTAATACGTAGACACACGCGTGCTAGGAATTAAAAGCAATTACACGTTGAATCGTTACCTAGAGCTTCGAACGACGCGCTACCATGGTATGCGACCGGCGCTCTCGCGTGGGTTCCCTTTATAAGGGGGCAAACCGATTGCAAGCCAGGGACGGACTATTTTGAAGGTACTATTTTTCGGGCATCTGTATTATCATGTAGAATTTTGATTCGTTAGAAGGATTTTAGCAATTTTGAGGGAAATTGTGGAAAATTTTGTTTGTTATAGATATGAACAACAAATTACAAATATCATAGATATTATAAATGAAATAGATATTATGCGTTATAAATATAAGTATGAAATTAAACACGAAGGAGCTACTAGTTGATGACATTGATATGAAAAGTATATTCTGGCATTTACATT